TTTGAGTGCCACTTAAAATGCACGCGCTCTTCTTGTAAAGAGTTAAGACATGGCCTTGTACGTCTTCCCAAGCATATCTGGCTCCTCTTCCCTTCCTGGCCAATACCCGTTCTCTGACGCCCCCCGATTTCACTCGTTTCGCCTAGTGAGAAATTCTGTCCCCAGTGAAGGCCATGGCAAACGCCCTATTGACTTCAGTGGGGCCAGGATTCCATCCCTGGGCTCTCCCTTCCATCTCTTTACTGGGGGGATAGGCTTGGCTGGGGGAGATTCTGGGTCTCCCTTCCTTATGTTGCTGAGAATGAATTGGAAACCTGAAAAGCAGCCAGTCTGTTTCCTGCTGTCCCCTGGCGCTCCTGGAACAATGGGGGTGCAGCATGTCTGACTGCTTGCTTCTGAGTCCTTGGAGAATCTCTCTCCAGACACATCGCCTGGGCTGATAATGCCCCATGTTCAATAGCTCAGAACTGGGAGCAACCGTGAACATGGCTTCCAGATACTGAGACAAAGGGGTTTCATCCCCCAGGGTCTTGGGTTGAATTCCTACATCCTGCCTCCCCAAACACCTCCTGCAGAAGGAGCTTATGGGTGACCCGCTGTCCCCTATTTTAAGGGATCACCCCTTATTCCATTGATTTGTAATGAGCTGGACGTGTTCTCTACTATCTGTCCATAACTGTTTTATGCAGCACTGATGTATTCTTCCCCAGAGGTAACTGCATTTCAGGGCTGGGCAAAGCAATGCCTGGGTGTACACTCTATAACCCATTTATGAGCGCCCGTGACTCTTTGGGTGGCTGGGTTTCTCTAAATGTCTGATTATTATTATTTATTTATTTATTTATTTATTATAGGTACACTTCAGTGTCAGTGAAGTCATGAGGATCCCAGTGCTCTTGTGAAATTGAGGTAGGTGGGGGAAAGGGGACTGCATTTCAGATCAGAGAGTTTATTAATAATTCTGTGGGCTTTTCATCTATAGATCACAAAGTGCTTTACCATTGTCCCCATTTTACAGATGGAGAAACTGAGGCACAGTGAGGGGCCGTGACTCACCCACGGTCACTGGCAAGCAGGGCATAGGCCCTAGGTCTCCTGACTCCCAGTACAGTGCCCAGTCCACTGCCTGGCCAGGATTTTCATCCCCTCCGTGTATGCCCATGTCTCTGTATGCAGGGGTGTAAATGGCTACGTGGCAGGAGGGGGTGGAAGAGAGCATATAGGACGGTGTGTTAGGGAGTGGGGTGCAACATGTGTAGGCATCTACTCGGTGTATTGAATGGGGAGGGGAGTAACAGTTGTTCTGTAGAGTGGGAGGGGTGGATGGCACATATGGCGTTCAGTGACAGATTTTGTATAGAGATGGTGATAGGGTCTGGGTGCTTATTTGGGAGAGACGAGGCATCTTCCCATGTCCTGTAATTCACCCGTCCAACCCAGGCAGGTTCGCATTTGTTTCCCTATAGGAGGCAGTTGTGATTTTGGGGGTGCCTATAACAGAATCCTTAGCCTGGAGAGCCAGATATTCAGGGGTTAAAGCCACTTTTACCATAAGGCTAAAATTCCCCGCTGGAAATTCCCAGCTGACCAGCAGGGTCAAGAGCCTACTATCCGAGGGCTGGTGCTTACTATCAGGGGGCGGTTCCTAGTTAAGTCTTAAAAAGGCGCGTGAGGATGGGACTTCTAGGCAGAAAGAGATCGGCCCCAGGCAGAGTCCATCCAGCTGGCTGGTGGGAAAGAAACCGCTACCTGCAGATCCCTGTCACGGAGAAGAGATTAGCTGGAGTGAAAACATTTCCCTGTAGCCACAGCAATGGAGCCAACTCCTCTCCTCCTGCTCCTCGGTCTGGGCTGGACTTGCAGCGGTAAGTTCCCTGGAGACCACCGCAGATCAGAGGTTCTCTCTGGGCTGGAGGGATTGGGGGTTCCCGGCCTTCGCGCAGGGCTGAACTATTCTTTTCAGCTATTTCTCCGCGCTGGTCCTGGGTGCTGCTTTGAAGTTTTCCCTCTTCGCTGTACGCTACACAACTGCTCTGCCGATGGCATCCCCTGCAGCTCTGCTGCCTGGTGCTTCGGGGTGAGCAGCTGCGGCTCCGTCCAGATGTGATCTGTGTGGCCAGGGCTCCCAGCGATGCTCTGTGCCCGGTTTGGATTGGCTGTGCTAGCCTCGGGGTGCTCAGGAGGGGACTCTGTTAACAGCGCTGTCTCCATCCTTGGGTACACATGGGTCTGTTTTGTTCTGTGGTTATACAGTGCCTGGCACAGTGGGGTCCTGGTTTGTGACTGGGGTCCTGGGCACTCCGGTAACATAAACAATAATCCCACTTTCTTTCTGACGCACCCTCTCCGCGAATCTCCACTGCACGTGGATCTTTGAGCTTGGAGAAAAATAAATCGGTGACTTAAACATTGTTAAAACTGGTTCAGAAAGGGAGGGAAAAAACACATCACTTTGTCCCCCGGACTTTTGGCTCCGTCTTGAATGAAATTAATAGGGTTATAAAATGTCGACACATCTGAATCTCAGAGAACATTTATTTTAGCTTTTAGAACAATACAAATAGCTCAGAGCCTAATTTTTACACCCGCAGATGTGTATTGGCCCATAGACAGGTCTACGCAGCATCAGTGGCATGACACGTGAGCATACTGGGCTGCCAAGCGCTCTCGAAAAGAAATACTCTCGTAACGGTGCCAATGGCTACAAGAGTGTCACTGCCACATTCGGGGCTAGTGCTGGCGTACTTTTAGAAAGACGGAATGAGATGGCTCTGTTGCACAGCTTTACTTTGGAGACAATCCTTCATCCAAACCGCATCCCAGAGTGCTGCAGAGCAGGGGTGCTCATATTTTCATAGGGTGGACCACATTGTAATAGACAGCCGGTCTCATGGACCCTCTTCCTTCCCATGTGCCATTGCCCGCACCGCCCCTCCCATTCATGATCACCTGCGGTCCTGCCTCCTCCCTGTTCTTCATCTAGTTGGCACAGGGACACTGCACAATTACCTGCATCGAAAGTGAATGTTAGGAAAGCATTTAGGAGCTGACTTAGGGTGCTGAGTACCCACCCCCTTCAACTGAAGTTGGGGAGCTGCCGGCTCTCAGCACCTCTGACCATCATGCCCTTGGGGGTATTTTAGCTGACTTGTGATGCCATCTAGCAGCTGGAAATCAGACCCACATAACCAGCAGCAAGTGCTCTGCAGAGTCCCAGTCCTGCACGGAAAGCAATTTGGGAACTGCCTTTGCAGAGAGTTAGTTAAAGCCAGATCCTCAATGGCTGTAAATCACTGTCGCTCCATTGGCTTCAATGAGTTGGCTCAATTTACTCCAGCTGAGGGTCTGGCCCAGATAGTACAAGAGTTGATAGCGTGCTGGGAAAAATGGGAAATTATTTTGTTTTGTTCACTGGGCCACTCCAGTGAGTCATTAAAAAGCAAGCTGCTGCCCTCTTGGTCGTTGCGCAGACACTACAGATCTTTGGGTCGTTTTCAGAACAGTCGAGGTTTGTCTTTTGTCAAAATTTCCGCGCTGTTTGCTGTGCACCCCAGAGGTGGCCGCATTTCAGCAGTGTTGTTGGCAGGGCACCTTGAGATGAAAGTCTCTAGTGAGATGTACAAATTCAATCCAAGTCACTCATGCAAGCTTCTGTTTCTGTAGGTATACCGCTGCATTCTCGCCTTTCATATTTGCAGTGGTTTTGTAACAAAAACCATTTTAAATGCATGTGTCATTTTCTTACTTTGACAAACCAAAGCTAAAATAATCTGGATTGAATTAAAATCAAGTATTTAGTGCTTTGTCTTTAAACACAGTAACCAGAATGTGGGATTTGTGTGATTGGCAGCCTGTTCCTACTTTCTGCTGGCTGCCTGGCTCCCAGGAGAGCAGCGCCAGCAGCAGCGGGGGGTTAACCAGTGGAGGATGACGGGTGTTCGGGCTTATTTTTTAATAACCACTTGTAAAATCTTTGTGGGAAGTAGAGACTCGGATTAAGTTAAACCGAGGCTGTGTTGCAGGGAGAATCTCATCCCATGGAAATGTCTGCAGTTAAATAGCATTCCTTCCACAGTAGCGGCACCTTTCCTCCCAGCACTGAAATGCTGCCACCTCTGAAGTGGAAGAAACCTTCCACTGCATTGCATGACAGTTGTGGGGAGGGGGAATCCGAGCCAACAACCCAGGAACAAACACTCGCTCTTCTGGAAAGTCTCAGGGAATGTTTGAATGTTTGCGTGCAGTTTTGTCACGACACAAAGAGGGGAAGTTTGAGGGGAAGTGGAGTGAAAGGGAGAAACCCTGCCTCTTTTTGCCATGATCTTCAAAATACCCTTAACTTCACCGGGGTCAGAATTTCACCTATGTTACATCTGCAGTGTTACCGACCCCTCCCATTTTATTGCAAGTCATGTGAAATTTGGTGTTTTTTTAAAAAGCCCCAGCTCTAGGAGTCCTGTGATTATGGGAGCATCTCAGCTTTAAAAACAAAACAAAAAAAGTTGCTAGCCCTCTTGATTGTGGAGGTGACCTGAGTGCACCCTAGCGGCTCAGAAACCAGAGCACTGAACCCAAAATCTCACCCTGTCTGTGCTGCCCTTTCCATTGGGAACAGCTGCCTTAGCTAACACTCGGTATTTACTGCTCTTCTCTGAATGACCCTTGTTTTCTCCACTTGCTGCTTTTCCCCCTTCCCTCCACTCCACCCAGGCCGGCTGACCGTGCTGCCCCAGGAAGCGCTAGTCCAGATTGGAGGATCCATTCAGTTGAACTGCTCCTTGGACTGTCCGGATGGGACGCCCCAGTGGAAGGGGCTGGACACCAACCTGGGGAACATCATCTCCACCCCCACCTATAGCCTCCTGCTCATCACCAATGCTACCGTAGCCATGGAGGGCACGAAGTTCTGCGTGGGGAACTGCCAAGGGAAGTCCCACCAGGGGTCGACCAACCTGCAAGTGTACTGTAAGTGCCCTAGGTTGAAGCAGTTACCCACTAGCTGCATGACGGTCTAGACTCCAAACACATTGTAGCCCAAAGGGGACACAGTCAGATTGAAACTAGAGGTTTTACCGTCACATCGGCCTGGTGTTTTTCTGACCCAGGCAAACAGGAGGGACTGACCGACCGTGCTGGGGAACCAGGCAAGCTGACCCTGCACAAAAAGTGCTGCCAAATCACAAAGACTTTCAGAATGAAAGAAAATCACTTCCCCGCTCATCCCTTTCAGTTAGTGCTGCCTCCGGAGCTACTCGCAACAAACCTCTGATAAGGGGCACTTGAATGACTGTGTCCATCTGGGGGCCTGATCCTATATCAGCTGTAATCTCCCACCCTCCCTGCTTCACAGAATCCAGCTAACCTTGGAACTGCCACACTAGAACAGCCCAATGTTCCATCTCAGCTGGTATCCTGACACTGACCAAGGCAGAATGTTTAGAGGAAGGTATCAAGCCTTGATAACACGACTCATTATGCCATCCTGTACCTTAGGATTCTTCCTAGCCCAGCTGATGATCAGTTTATGTCCAGAAGCATGAGGATTGATCACTAAAATGCAGCCCCTTCTGGGGTGGAGGATGGCCACAAACCAGGGCAAGAGAGCAGTTAAGATCAGGAGGCCTGGTTCTCAGAGGTGAGGGGCACCTGCAGCAGCCCCTGGAGGCAGTGGGAGCGGCTGGTACCCTGCGTCTCTGAACATCAGGCCCTGGGGTTTAAGGGCTGACTTGAAAGGCTCTCTCCAACACCTGGACCTCCTCTGGCAGACGTGGCCATGGTGTAAACTGGCCAGGAATGTAGTTTTGTGGCTCCTGGAGTGGATCAAAAATTGGCCACTGTTCCCAGGCTGATCTCAGTGATGAATCCTCAGGGGAAGAGGGCAGGAATAGATTGCATCCCATTGACTCCCCTCTGCATATGCCACAACTGACAGCACGTGTTCTTCACACCTGGAAAAAGAACAGGAGTACTTGTGGCACCTTAGAGACTAACAAATTTGTTAGTCTCTAAGGTGCCACAAGTACTCCTGTTCTTTTTGCAGATACAGACTAACACGGCTGCTACTCTGCAACCTGTCTTCACACCTGGAGTCAGCGGGTGGGATCCCCAGAAGGGGCAAGTGACTTACAAGCACAAATCCTGCCGAGTTTCAAAGGGACTTTGTGCATCTAACTCACATCGGTGCTTTTGAAAATCCCACCTAATGGCTCCATTGGTCACTCCCGGCCCTGGTCCCCTGGGCACCCTGTCCCATGGTAGGTGATGTAGCTAGGAAGCCGGCCGTTCCTCACGTGCCATTCTTTTCTCAGCTCTTCCAGATACATTGCAGCTGGAAACCCAGCCCAAGGAGCTGGTGGCTGGGCAGCCAGCCCATCTCCACTGCTCTATTAGCAAGGTGTACCCACCCGGCTCCTTGACTCTGAGCTGGTATCGGGGGGACCAGAGATTGGAGAGCCCAGACGCTGAAGAAGTGGCTGATGACGAGGAGCTGTTCAGTTATGACTCTGAGCTGGAGGTCCCAGGGGAGAAGGTGACAGAGGGCATGGAGTTCAGGTGTGAGGTGGAGCTGCTGCTGCCGCCATCAGACAGGAGTTTCCACCGGGCCACAGCGGTGACTGTGAGCACAAAAGGTAAGTCTTGGAGATCTGAGCTAGGAATCTTAGCACGGTGGGTGTGCAACTTCTCCTGCCAAAGCCATTTCCCCATGTCGCTTGCAATACTTGTCTGCCAGGGGTGAAAAAATCTGCTTATATGAACTCTGTGTGGTCTGAATACCTATGCAGCATGGGAACCAGGGTAACGTCAAGCTGAATGGGCCTGAATCCACCCACCTGAAGACCTTCTGCTAAACCCTTCTGGCTCTCCAGGAGAGATGCGGCTTCCTCTCAGCTCCTGGCACTTCCCCTGTACCCCACCAGATCTCCTTGATTCATTCTGTTATCCCACCCCCTGCGTCCTTCCTCCTCGCCCCAGCTACTCTTCTCCGGAGTCCTCTTGCTAGCCCATGCTGTGAAGTTAGGGATCAAGGGAAGGCCCTATGTGTGCTAATCCTCTTCCCTGTCTAGGGCCCTAATCCCAAGGATCCTGCCTCAGCCCACACACAGCTGGCATGAAAGGTGCCTGCGTGGGGTCTGATGCATATATGAAGGGGAGAGCAAAGCAGGGGATAGGACTTGAGGTTTCTGACACAGCCATATCTCTGGAGCTGGGTTCAGAGGGGTGGAGGGAGCCAGCAACCTCCCAGGGGATGGAGGATCATTCGGTGACAGCCGTGGCCAGAGGGCCACCTACCTGGCTTGCATGGTGGCAGCTCCTTAAGGACAAGGGCACGGAGTACGTGTAGCCAAGCGTCAAGAGACTAATCAAAATCTTCTGTTTACAGCTGTGGCAGAACAGCCCACAACTGAGTCAGTCACTGGCCAAGAGAATCCCAGAACTGAGTCTCCGGCTACTACAAGGAACCCCCCTGCTACTGACCGCAGCCCCACAACTGGGCTTGGGGCTACTACAGGGAACCCCCCTGCTACTGACCGCAGCCCCACAACTGGGCTTGGGGCTACTACAGGGAACCCCCCTGCTACTGACCGCAGCCCCACAACTGGGCTTGGGGCTACTACAAGGGAACCCCCCTGCTACTGACCGCAGCCCCACAACTGGGCTTGGGGCTACTACAGGGAACCCCCCTGCTACTGACCGCAGCCCCACAACTGGGCTTGGGGCTACTACAGGGAACCCCGCCACAGAACTGACTTCTGCAGAGAGCCCCACCACAGAGTTCATTGTCACTTCGCACAAGCCCAGTGCCAAAGCCACCTCTGTCCACTGGCTGGTGACCACAGAGACCCTCGCCACCGAGTCCAGGGCTGCCTCACAGCACCCCAGTGCAGGTGCAGCCACAACAGACTGGAGCCCCAGCACTGCCTCGAGTTCTGCTACAGAGAACCCCACCACAGGGGATGTGGCTAGCACAGAGAACCCTCTGACCAAGAAAGCCACTAGTGACAGGAGCCGCAGAACAGAGTCTGTCTGCAACCTTCAGATCAGGCCTGTCCCTCCTAAAGGGACCACCGGGGAAGCCCTGAAGATCATATGCGAGGCAGAGTGCGGTGAGAATGTTACCATCAGGTGGCTGAAAACCCCTGTGGTGCTCTCTCACTACCAGGAGGAGGCGTCTGAGGGCAAATCCACCCTGACCGTTGACCGTGTAGGTCTCGACCACCAAGGGATCTATGAGTGCTTCATGCTGAGCAGGAGACTCCAGGTGGCGAGACTCCACATCGCTGTGTCTGCTGGTGAGTGGCTGCCAAGGGCTTTGCATTCAGGAGGGGTTGGTCCCTGTGGGGAGGTGTAAGCCAGCCTGGGGAGGAGGCGGCGTCCCAGTGATCATATTTGTTTCCTCCCCCGATCTGTACTCCCAAAGGTAACAACAGAACAGAAACTACAGTTTATGGTCAGCATAACCCTCCAACCAAAACCAGTGGGATGGGGAGAGGCAGAGTCCATGTGTTCAAGGGCCAAGCATCACGCAAGGGTCTTAGCCACACGCTTTTCTTGGTTGTTGAACGCTACAGTGAACAACGGCCGGGGAAAGTTGCTGGGTTGACAGCCCTGAAATTCCATCCACACGCACCAGTGCAAGCTTCCCTGCTCATGTGCCTTAATTCGGGGCTGGAGGGATCAATCTCTAGGCAGGAGCCTGTTGTTAGCCTATACAGCCCATTAAACCCTCTCTGCCGAGGCTGCTGATCAGTGCCACTGGCCCTGGGGGCCCGTGGGATGTGACGATGCAGCTGTTGGTGGCTGGCTGGAGAACCACCCGCTGGGGTCAAAGGACGCTTAAGACACCGGGACCCACGCTGGGATATTTATACTTGCCGATTGTTGAGACCAAGCCCTGCTAAGGGCTCAACCACAGCAACTGACAATTTCTCGGGTCTCTTCTTTGCAGACATCTTCAGCACTGACTCCGCCATCCTGGTCGGGACGGCAAGCTCTCTCCTGGGCCTGATAGTGACAGCATTTGCGTCACGTCGCCTGTGGCGACGACTCCACCCACCGGGCGTGAAGAGCTCTAAGGGGAACAGCGTTTAGGTGCCTGTGGCCCCGTCGTGACTCGTTTTGAACATTCATCCTCTTTCCACTGACCAGCTTGCCCGTTGTTCTGGAAAGCTTGGTATTCGAGCCAGCCAGGCCCCTCGGCCTGCACCTGGCCAGAGACGGGAGTGGAGGAGCTGCCCGATGCTTGGGCCGCTGCTGGGAGAGCTGGGTAAATGGTCAAGTTGGAAGCTGCCCAGCAGAGCTGAGCAGACCTTTGGGTTGACCAGTCTCTTTCCTTTCCTCCACTTCACTCCTTAGCATCATGGTTTCCTCTGGTTTCAAGTGCAGTGGGAGCATTTTGCTCCAAAGTCCAGACAGGTGCTGAGACTTGGATCCTACAGACACACCTGTGGGACTCAGACAAGAGATGAACAGCTCACAGGTGTCAGGGTACGGCAGTTTCTAAAACAGACCAATGGATTTTCCCTTCACAGTATATTGAAAACTCTCTCCTTGCTTGAGGCTTCCGGCCGAGGAGATGCCAGTAATATTTCCTGTAGGATTGGTTTGAAATCCCTGATCCTTTCTGGATTTGCCACGTTTCTTTTCATGGTTGCTCCTGTTTTTGTTCCCAAGTATGTTGGGTATTTCCAGTGGGGGTGGGGAAGAGAAGATGGGCGGGCGGGGGTGGGGTGGAATTTCAGGTGCATTGAGGGTTGGCTAGGGAGGGACTAGGTGAGACTATGCTCAGCCTTAGCCCCTTGGAACTGAGTGGAGACTTTAAGCAAATGCATAACAGTGACGAACTATCAATGTGACGCTCTGTACTGCTCATACAGCGCCATCTCCAGGCCCTGGGTTTCTTTGCGCTGATACTCTGCCGTCCCACACCCTCCTCCTCAGAGACAGGGTTGCAACCCCTTCTGGAGAGGACTGTGGGGCAGCTGCCTGGTTTCCTTCCACGCGGAGATCGTACATGCACCAGCCCCATCTCAGAGATGGGATGGAAACTCAAGTCAGTTCATCTCTGTATTTAAAACACCCTAAGAAACCCCTCCCAACTGCTGTAATGTATCAAACCAGGCTGCTTGTAAATAACCTGTATCGAATGTTGAGAACGCAGTAGACCTGCGGTGCATACGGAGTTTCTGTTGTATAGTGAGAACTGCTGCTCTAATAAAGAGTTGTTTTTACATATTCCCTGCAGTGGTTTCCTTGGCAAGTATCACTTCTCTATACCCTGGCCCTATGGTTTGCCTGCAGCAGCAGGGCCATGGGTATGCTTGTATTCCACACAGCAGGCAGATGGGGGCAGGGAGGGCACCTAGCTTCTCGCAGAATAGCCCCACTGAGTATATTCCTGGGGGCATTTTGACTTCAGCCAGGTATAATGCTGCACTCAGAATTTGCAAGAGGCCCCGAATTGCAACTTGCTGATTAGATGCTGACTTGAGGGCTCTAAAACAGAATACCTGGTTCTCGTGGCTGAAGCAGAGGCATGCCTCCCTTGATCCTAGAGAGATAGGAATCCCAGAAATACCTTACTGAGAAAAACCAGCTCTCCCAGAGTCCATAAACCAGAACTACGCCACCCGTGCTCCACCCACTCCCGGCCTCTCCCATTAGCCGTTGGTCTCAGTTCCTTCTGACCCAGCAGCAGGTCTCTCTACACGAGTTCACATGTAACCAGCTCGGCAAGGAAATCCCCACAGCTGGCACCTGGGCTGCCATTTGTGGCCTCTGGGGAAACTTCCCAGAGCAAACGCTGCTGTTCTGCATTGGGGATCCTGCTTCCTGAGCTCAAGCCTTGTCAGGCCACGGGAAGCAATGCCACCTTTAGCAAGGGCAGAGATAAAGGAGCAATCAGGAACCAGCCCATTTAGTCAATAGGTGCTTTAGGAAAGCACGCCCCTCCTCCTGCCCAGTGGGGTGAAACAGCCCTGGGCCTAGTGGGGTCAGTACTCCCACATTCGTACTCCTGGAGGTGGCCTAGTGTTTGTGCTCAGCCGGGGATGACTGTGGCCGAAGCAGCTGCCAAGTGAGGAGGCGAGTCTGGCCTTCTCCCTGCAGGGAAAGCTGTGGTGTTGTATGAAGCCCCGTAGGGCACCTTGGGGAAGCAGGGAGAGCACAGAAAGCCCAGCTGGGTCATTGACCATGGCAGAGTTGGTCCTGTTTCTCCTTGCAGCTGCAGTACTCAGGCTACCTGCCAGACACGTGGCGGCTGGGGCCAGCACTGCAGAAAGCTGCTCCCATCCCTGGCAAGGTTCGGTGCAGGTTGGGGACACGGGAGAAAGGGACAAGATCCCTTTGCGAAGAACTCGGCTACAGCCCATCTCAATGCAAGTTCCCCATAGTGCAGGAAAAGTGACAGCTTGGGCCTTGCGTGTCTGGAATTAAGCACTCGATTCCTGCCTCTGTTCCTTGTGCAGAGAACTCCTCTCTCTGGCCCCAGCTCTTGGAAAACTACCATTGCTCTGCGGCAACTTCTCCGTGTGTGTCGGAAGTTAACGTCCCAGCGAGGGCGGGTGGAGTCTCCTTCCACTCTCTGACCTCCCCGCTCCACTGAACAAATACCAGACTCAGCACTGCTCAAGAACCTGCCACCTGCAGCAACCCCCCCCCCCCATTTCACGAAAAGGAGATTTCCTGCATATCCAGCTGGAAGGGGATATTAATGCAGCAGAATACAGTTATCCCTGTTGGAATGAAAGCTAGAATACTGGGGTTAACAAAGGCCTCACAGCTTGTGTACTCAGCAACCAGAATGGGTGCAGTTAAAAAATAATAAATCCCTAGCGATCTGTAGTCCCTCTTGCCTCCTAAAATCAACACCAGTTCCTGCGTGTTACCTAAAGGTCTCCCCTCCAACCACTGCCCTGGCCCAGGCCTGCGTAGCATGAGAGCAGATGAAGTCCTAGCTAAGGTGGAAAGACTGCAGGCTACTGCCATGTTCCCCGTTATTAGCAGCCAAGGTTTGTTGCTGTGAGTTCAGAATGTATGAGCAAAAAAAAAAAAACCAAACAATTTTATTTAAAAACCAAAACAAATCCCTGCACGTACAAGGGCCCCTCCTCCGGCTCCTGCAGAAAACGCTGTTTTAAAGCCACAACCAAGGGCAGCGTCAAGTTAGGTAACAGGCTTCTTGTTAAAGCACAGCCCACCTGCTGCAGGCATGTCTCATGGGCACTGCCACTTACCCATTCTGCTGTCACAGAGCAGATTCAAGGGTAACACCATCCAGTTGCCAGCTGCTCCATTTAAGTTTTCTTTAGATACGAGGAGACTTTTGATCCCTGCCTGCTGGGAGGGAGACTGATCAGAGATGGGTGCTGTGCTGCTGTTTCAAGTGACCAGCGCTGGACAATGAAACCTTTATTCAGAGAACAGGTAGCAGGAAAGCTTCCACCAGCCTCCCAGCTCCACTTCTCACAGGCAGAGGGCAGCTCACTCAACCCGTGGCATGTTGTGGGGCAGTCTCTGGGTGATCCATTTGGAACTGGACTAGGACTACTGCACTGTTATGACTGGCACTGTTGCCCTGAGCAGCTGAGCTGAAAGGCCAGCGTTCTGTCAATCCTGACTGTGGCTGAAGTGTCCCATGCCTTCTGGGAACCCACTGCCAGACTGAAGACTGTTTAAACCAAAGCTACAAACTTCAGGGTTTAAAGAGGTCACACTCCACGTTTCTACCATGATTAATGGAGGGATGGCTACACCACTGGAAGGGCAATCCAACTGTGGCGTACGCTGCTCCCATGGGGGAGTTTCCTTCCCTGACCTGTCCTTTTGGTGAAGCCAAAAAGCCCCTTTGTCTCTGCACTGATGCAATTTGGTTCAGAGCAGTGCTTTTGGTTCCAGAAGAGTGGACCAAGTCCTAACTCTGGCATCTAAATGCACATCTGTGCTTACAAGTCAGGCCCCTGTGCTAGCACAGTGGGGCTGCGTTGTAGCTGACCTCAGACCCCCGCCTTGCTCTAGCTTCGGGTAGGAATCAAGCAATCCTTTCCTCCTTTGATGCTTTTGTTTAAAACCCCCTTGAGTGGCCCTCACGTCCCGGACGATTTGCGGGCAGAATGAGTTATGCTGGCCCAGTTCTGTAGAACTAATGTTATGAGTTTATTAGTGACCAGGGGAAAATACTCAAAGACTTTCAAGTTAAACCCTGTCATTGGGCTGGAGCCATCCCTCCTTGGGAGCTGTGTGTGTTGTGGGAAAAGAAGGAAAGTCTCCAGTGGTTCACATACACTCCTCCCCTCTCAAGTTTGCTCCCCAACCCTTCTTCTGTCAGGAAGTAGAGGTCCAACACCCACACCCTGGAGCATAAAGCATTAGATCAAAGATTCTTGGAGGCGGGGACCTTCTTTGCTTGCAAGGTCTGCCCATCAGTGCAGAACACAGTAAAGTGGATGAGCTTAACTGAACTACAGTGGCAATCAGATTACAGCGAAAGCCCCTAAGGGACATGGTACAGAATTCCACCCAGAAGGCGCTACTGCCACGTTGAGGTAGGTGCGTGATAAAAAACACGACATTGACAGGCTCGTGATTTAAAGCAGCCGCAAGCAGCGTTTACGGTAACTAAGTGGCCACAGGAACACTCTTTCCATCAAACAGACTATGCAGCTGCTTCCTGCAAACCAGTCTGTTTGGGATCAGTCTTAAGAGTGCATGGAACAATGATCATACGGCTGCATCCAGTCAAAAACAAGCCACCTCCCGGAGGGGGAATGCCGGGCCCTAGCAGCCCTTTTTCCCTTCACCCAGACCTCAGATATACTAGACATATTCCTACAGCACTGAAACCAAGGTGAGGGGAAAGGGGGGCTAAACAGAGGCAGCAGAAGCAAAGACACCCACTGCAGTTTGTAGTGTAGCGTATGAAAGACCGACTGCATCTGTGGGACAGACGGCAGCAGCGCTTAGCAGCGCTCTGCTCAGATCTGAGCTTGGAACACAGGAGATCTCTGTCCTGGATTAAATTGACAAGTGTCACCATCCTGAAGGATGTTTAAGAAGCGAGATCACAAGGGAACCTTTGGTTAGACTGTAAACCAGAGTCCAGCCATCTGATAGCAGCTCCTGCACCCGTATCTGTGCACAGCCACTGCCCGCAGCTTCCCATTCAACGGGAAGCATTCTAACTGGCATGGCACTTGAGCTGCTCCAAACCCCAGTCTCCTTATCACACATACTCAAGGTTCTGCTTCCCTTCCTTAAGGCCCAGCTTCTGTACTGGGTTTCAGCACATTCCCAGCCTCCGGCAGAGAATGGGCAGACTCCAAGACTGGGGCAGCCTAAGCAAGTTAGACTGATCACAGCTGCACGGAAGCAGGAACCGGGAAGTCGCTCGCTCCTAGCCATGTACCGTGCGCTGGTGCTTCAGTAGGTTGGATTTGTGGTTAAAGGACTTGGAGCAGCATTTGCAGCGGAACTGCTTCTGGTCCTGGTGAGTTCTCTTGTGCTGCAGGAAGGTGGAGAGGTGGGTGAAGCTCTTGGGGCAGTGCTCGCACTTGAAAGGCCTCTCGCCTGTATGGATGCGCTGATGCTCCTTGACTGAGGCTTCCCATTTGAACCTCTTGCTGCACTGGGAGCACTTGAAAGGCTTCTCCTCAGTGTGGATGCGGAGATGCTTGATGAGGCAGGACGTGCGCTTGAAGCGCTTGGCGCACACGTCGCACTTGAAGGGGGCCTCGTCCGAATGGACCTTGCTGTGCTTGGCTAGGTCCCCAGCCAGCTTGAAGTGCTTGCCACAGGCATCGCAGCAGTGGGGCCGATTGTCCGAGTGGACCAGGCGATGTTTAATGAGGTCAGCGCAGCGGATGAAGTTCTTCTGGCAGGTCTCACAGTGGTAGGGCCGCTCGCCCGTGTGGATGCGCTGGTGCTCCTGGAAGTTGGAGAGGTGCTTGATGTCCTTCTTGCAGATGTCGCAGCGGTAGAACTCCAGGGGAACAGCCGCACGGCTAAGGAGCCGCTGAGATCGCCTCCGCTTTCTCCTGACTGGGGACTTTGAAGGGCTTTTCCCTGCTTCCATGAGGTTGGAGATCACACCTGGCAAAGCAAGGATTTATATAACACTGTATGTGCTTGCTCTGCACTTTACAAAGCATGAAAGAAGGCAAGGTTCCCACCTTGAGGACCTTCCAGTCTCACACAGGCACTTATGGGGCATCATTTCAGGCTGTTGAAAACTCCAGTGAT